ACATTTATGTAATCTTCCTGGTGTTATATATACAGTCATTATCCACTTTTAGAGTATAGGTTTGGGTGTCTAGACAGGTAATATTCTTATTGAACTAATTTAACTTCTAATTTATTAATAATAATAATAATAATAAATACTATTATACTAATTTATTAAATACTAAATTTACTTCTAATTAAATTACAATAATAAAAAAAATGTGGTTAATAAATTAAATATATAATAAACATATATCTACTGTATGTGTGTGTGTGTGTGTGTGTGTGTGTATATATATATATATATATATATGAGCAACATCACTCGAGTACGAGAGCGATACCGGCTCTATATCAGCATGGCTGTGATTAGGCCAGAGGCACGAGGCCGCAGGCCGAGTACCAGAGTGATATTGCGTTTATACAACAGCCGAGCGACAGAAAGATAGAGATGGTGGATAAAATACAAAAGAGGAAAACGTGACATCTGCGGAACAAAAGAAGACTTAAGGCAATAAGGCAAGATGTAGGACCCGTGTAAATATCGAATCAGCTTTCCAGCGCTGGAGAGAACTCAAGGAGAGGAATGCCTGCGATCGGAAGACGAGGTTGCTTTGTTTCTTCTCGATAGGCGAGTAACACCGTGTCTGCGCCGCAACAGCTAAAGTCTGTCTAGTACACTGGACGCGACAAAGTGACCGTTGAAAATCATTTGAAATTTGTGTCAATACGTCATGAATAGAACACAACAGCAGTTTTCTGTCGGGGATTTGTCGTGTCATGCTGCGCCACATCCAGTGTATACCATAGATAAGTATATACTGTATATCTATGGTGTAGAGAGCATCACTGATTATAATGAGTTCTATAGTATTTTGTCACGCCGCGGCACTCGCGTCCGGTGTAGACACGGTGTAACATTGGTTTTGCTTTGTTTCACAGAACTAATCGGTGCCTGGGTTGTGTACGTATGTGTGGGGCCAGAAATCACTTACCCTGCCTTTAATAATATAAAAATAATAATAATTTATGTATATATATATATATAGTAATAATATTTAACTTTAATATTATTAATTTAAATAATTTAAATAATTAATTTTATATAGTGCAACATAAAAACGGGGGGGAAAACTTTTTTATTTTATTTTTGTGTTTTAGGTTGAGTTTCATGGCTATTTATTTTTTACAGTATTGAGGTTCAATTTAATATAATACATTGAAACTAAATTGAAAATGTTTAAATAAAGCAAGAGGTTGTGTCTCCTCTGTATCACGGTAAAATCACAGTAATTAAAAAAATATATATACAACAGGGACCACAACAATATTATAAGTGGTAACAGTGTTCAAATATGAATTATAAAACATAATAATTTGTAATAATTCATAATTTACAACTGCCAAGTAGACCATGCATATATATATTTTTTTATTCAAGTTTTAACATTGCATTGATGCCAAACCACCAAAATGAGAATTTCCTACTTATTTGAAATTGTACTTTTAGCCAAGTCTTATTTTGGGATGTTTAGATCCTTTATTGGTATATGTTTTTTTAATATAAAAAAGCCTCGCATTTCACTGCATTCTACAGTTTGAGTTTGGTGAACTTGTCTCATGTCAGACACGGCGTTATCTCTTACTAAATTAAAAGTTTAAAAACTTTAAAGCTGCAGCAAACTGGAGTAGACTGGATATTTTTACATTTTTGGTTTCATTATAATTTGCTATGTAATGAATTTATGTTTTTAATATTATAACTTGCGATGTTTGAAGAAATCGTGTGTGTGTTCAAAGTGTGAGCGTAGCTTTAGCTGGCTGGTTTTTGCATTATGTGGTAACGCTGTGCTCTTTT